ATATGTCTCTTCTATTGCCGACTGTTCCGGTAACTGTATGGTTGGCGCCGGGAACAGTGTTCGGGCAAACATGTAGTCATAGCCGGCCACTACATGAGCATTAGTGACGGCAATATTACAGGCGGCGTCCACTATGACTGCCGTTGCAGATGAAGTCATTGAATCGTAGTCGGCATAACTGAGACCTCCCAACAAGAGCACACTATACATGTAGTTGTCTTTCAAGTATTCAATGTCCACATCAAACATGTGAGCCTTAGTTATCCATTTAATTAGTGACTTATTATTATTATTATAACGGTTAGACATTTGTTGGCCCGACTGGCAAATCAGTGGCGACGGTGACTGTTTAACTAGTTTTCGGCGCTTAAGATATACTGTCGACGACGTTAACAATGATGCCGACAATAGCAGCAAATTTCTGAATCAAGTTTTTTTTTGGTAAAGTAAATAATAATTGAATTGTTTTTTTAATCTCTTATATAACAAGCAATCAAATTTCAATATCAGTTTCAAATGAAGTTAATAATCAATAGATTTTATGATTAAATAAACAAAAAAAAATCATTTGATTTGTTTAAACATACCTTTTGCTGTAAAAACTCATTTTATTTAGTGTACGATAAGCAACACAATTGATAACACAATGCGTTTTTTTAGTTTAAAAACTCATTAAAAAAACCTCAAACTAACTGTCAATTTAGTTAAAAAATTATTGTTAATTAATTTGAAATAATATTACATTTAAGCCAATTAAGCAATTACAATTTAAGCATTTGAAGTGCTAGACGGTTTCAACAATTGTTGTTTGTGTTTGTTGTCGATGTCTATTACCGATCAATACTAAGTCACGTACAGCGCTGACTATACCAATGATTATCAAAATAATTAGTATTATTACTAATATTTTTAGATAATTTTCATCATTTATATCCGGATCGTCTGTGTTTTTGGTCATCAATACTGATCCGATAATTTGGCATAAATGGTGTCAAAGTTTTAATTGATTTACACTATTTAAAAAAAATTATTAGTAATTAATAACTTTTTTGTTAATTATAATAATAATAATACAAATACTTGTTTTTGATAATTGATTTACTGGTGACCATACAATACATGGCCTGAGTATTATTGATCAGAAACCATTATATATATAGTATTTACCAGAAATTTCATGAATATTATCGGTAACTGAAACAACTGTTCCCCCAAACATATGACTGTCCATTAGATCCATTTAGAAAATCGGGTCGATTTGTATTATTATTATTTGTATTATATTTTTTATAAACAAGACTTTAGAAACTTTTTTAAGTATTTAATTGTAGTTCACAATTGATAGTCTAGTTATATATACAGTATATCTAGTGGTCTGGCTATACAACCAAAACTTTATCCAAATAGTAGTCGTCATAGTCATAGCTATTAGGGATTATGAATTAGAAATTTATTAATCGTGAGAAACTTGCCGTAAGTATTCGTTTGGTTAATGTATAGGATTTTTATTAAACACATTGAAACGGCAAACAACACGGAAATTAGTTGTCTGTTAAAAATAAATAATTAATCAATTAATTAATTAAATTATTATTATTAAAAAAATCATTTATCTAACCATCGGTTGAATATAACACATGTAGCCATTTCTGGAAACTAATAAGTGTTTTAATATTCCCGTAATTTTTATCATCACGAATAAATAATAATTTTAGTTTCAAAAAAAAAATAAACAAATTATAGATCAGTTAACTTTTTCAAAGATTATTAAAGATTTTTTTTTTGTAAAAAATTTCAACACAAATTTTTTGTTAATTCATACATACATATAGTATTATACTATCTTAACATCGGCACCTGTATGTTTTCGGCACTTGTATTCAGTAGTCAGTTCAATAGACATCAGCACCAATTTATTTCTGGGATGTCTGACTTTCCTAATATATATATATTTACTGTATATGTAATTGTAATAAAAATTTATTATTTTTTATTATTTGTAGTATTAGTAGTCAATCAATATTAGACATACATATAGATTTGTTTGATACTGACCTATCATTGGATTTTTTTAAAGATATAACCAGAAACTTATATTATTAGGTTAATGTCATATCAATGAAATTAATTTATTTAATCTTAATAACTATCTTATGATTAAATTAATTACAATATATATATATAACTAAAAAATAATTTTTATAATATGCTTATATCAATACTCTAATATAAACCTAATAATAATACTAAATTTAATATTTTTCAATAACATTGTCAATAAAAAAAGCGTTGATAAAATTATAATTATTTATGGCATCAAATAAAGAATAAAAATAATTTTATTAAATATTTAATAATTTTCGATACATTTTTTAATATATATGAAAAATAATTCTACATTTGTTTGTTAATAAAAACTATAACTAAACAAAACAAAAGTAAATTAATTAAAATATTTAAATCTTTTCTAACTTTTTGATCACAAAATGCCTAAACTTTGGTCTCGTCTTGAGATTCATAAGACCTGTTTCACTGTATGTACTTTTCGACCTCAATTGGACCGTTAATGTAGCCAATCGTTGCAATTTGGCCAACGATTCAAGTGATAGGTCAGTCAACTCTACTTCAATGAGTCTCAAATTGCGAAGATTTGGCAAATTGATGGCCAGATCGACAAAAAACGGATCCCGAATTCGGGCACAACAGATGGATAACAGTCTCAATTGTCGACATTTGTTGAACAAATCACTGGTCAGATGACAATATATGAATACGAAACCCGAAATAATTAGTTGAGTGACTTGAGTGCCGCCAAACGCTTCATTGATATCGGCAATCATTATCATGTGTTCGGCCGTTGAATACATGTTTTTGAAATTGTATGTAAATCGCCGAAGTTTTGGACATTTGTTTACCAATTGTTGAAATTGTTGTCTACTGGCGTGTTGTCCGTCAAAAACAATTAATAGATTAGTCAACGATTCAAAACTAGTCTGACTATCAATAACTTTGTCGACGACTTTCTGTTCTAACTTTAATTTTAGCCACAATTTCGGTGACTGTTGTTTGCGATAACAACTGTCGGTCGTATTTTTCGAGTCAATTGTATTCAATTGATTGTCTGAATCATTGTTTTGTTTATCGATAATCGGATTCAGATTGTCATCCGATGTAGAGCTGACAATGTCATCGATAATTATCCGTTCGTTAGACAGTTGATAGTATGGTCTCAATGTTACGGTTTCTTTGATTTGTTGACACGAAAGTTCAATCCATTGAAATGGTGTTCTCGTATATTGTCGACCAGCTCTTCCAACTGTTTCATTCATTAAATCGCTTGAAGAATAGGACATCCATAATATCTCAGTGATATGTCGACACTCATTGACAATCAGTTCGCTCAGTTGATTGTAGATCAGATCGATTTTGTCAAAACCATTATAACTACTGACACTTTCATCGGTACTCTCATTGTCCATATTGTCGACATCATCGTCGACCTCATCATCATTACCATTGTTGTCGATATTGTTAGAAATGAGACGAAAGACAAATACTTTGATAATGACAGCACCGGTGGTAATGATGTCAACAGTTTTAGTAATCGCTTGTTTGACGAGTTTGTAAATGTTTAACGAAGTAATAATAATAATATTATTGTTGTTCCCATTGTCTTCATTGATTTCATCTTCTTCTTCTTCACTATCATTGCTATCAAAACTATTTTCATCGTCAGTGGTCTCGTCGTCTTCAGACATCGCTAAGTGATGGTCATTGAACTCCTCTTTCTTTTCATAATATATGTTCAGCAAAACTCTTGTGACGTTTCGACATTTTCTGAAGATTGTCTGCCATTTTGACAAATCAAACGAATTGTTCACTTTTTCGACGACTTCGACGTCATAGACATTGTTGTAAACCAATCGTTTCCATTGTCTTGATATGGATTCGTATTTGAATTTGTCGTCAAACTCAAGATAACCTAATAATACTTCAGTCAAATCGTCACCGAAGCGTTCAAACGAGTCTTTCGGCTGAATAGCCATATTCTTCGACATTAATTGTTAAGATTGTATGTATTGAAAAAAATAATCAAATCTAATATTAAACTGTTTATTAATATTTAAAAAATTTTAAATAAATAAATCACATAAATTTATATAACACACGTGCATTATTTATGGAGCCGATCTATGTTGTAAGCTCCTTTTTTTGTATTATTTACACGCGCTATTGTTACAATCAATTTAATTGTAGTTTACGCGCTATTTACACGTATTTTTCATAATTAATAAAATAAATGTAAATATGTTTAAACAAAAATAATATCAAACCTAACCTTTTTATAATGGTATTACATAAATGTTAACTTAACCTAATCTATTGTATTAGTGTTCGCTCCGTTACCTAACCTGGTGTTCGGACCGCAACCTTAACCTAATTATAATGGTATTACACAAATGTTAAATATGATTACTGTATCACGTATTGCACGTGAAATATTCAATTATATCTATTGAAAATATAGCGCGTGTAAATAATACAAAAAGCGGAGCTTACAACATAGATTTTAGCCTTATTTATTATTTTTAATAATATATATTTTTGTTTTTTAATAATAAATATTTTTGTTGTTTAATACTACTAATATAAAACTATTAAATATCTATTAAGTATTATAAAACAATAATAAAAATTATTAAATTATTAATATTACTAATTTTTAAACAAATTGTAATAATTTAAATGAGATCTCAAAATTATTATATAACAAGAATAATACTGTAATTAATAATTACTGATTATATTTAGATTCACGCCATTATTAACTAAAATCATAAAAACATTTTAAATTATTTATTACATTTTAATTGTTATAATTGTGATAATTGTTATTTCGGATTATTGTACGTGAAGTTTAAAATTGTATAAATGAAAACTAAATAATAATAATTTTAGTCTCAAAAAAAAAAACAAATTATAGATCAGTTTTTAGAAATCAGTTAACTTTTTTCAAAGATTATCAGAGATTTTTTTAAAAAAAAAATTAAACACAAAGTCTTTGTTGATTCATACAGTGATTTAAAACAAACAAAAACAATGCATTTTACACTTAACATCGGCACAGTTATGTTTATAGCACTTGTATTCATTAGTCAGTTCAATGGACATCAACACCAATCAGTTTCTGATAGAAATGGGTTTCCTTTTTTTCTTCCTGGCTTTGACTTCACTAATTTTCAGCTGCCAGAAGGCATAACCTTTCCTAACAACTTGTTTAACATAACAAATATCGGCACTAAAACCCCCGACACTATGACTACTACTACTACTACTACTAGTATGGCTGGTGACGGCAATTCAGTAGAAACCGATACTAACAATAATAATACTGCTATCAGTACTGCTAATCCTGATGATCAACAGCCACCCGTTGGTAATAGTACTGCCGATTCAGATATTAACAGCACTACATCCGAATCAGGAAGCGATACAACTGCCATACATACAGGTGCCGATACAACTGGTGTTACCAGCAATGAGAATACCCCACAAAGCCAAACACAAGCACCGTCTGTGAGCTCTGGTGGTATGTATGGGTGTGTGTGAGTGTGTGTTGTCATTATTTTTTATGATATTTCAATGACTGACTGGTTGTTTGTTAACAAATTGCTGATTATTAATAAAAATGCTTAAAAATATATATTTTATAGTAAAAACAACATCAGAGAAACCAAAGCCAAAGTCGTCGGGAATGACATGGATTTTGATAGCCGTTATTGTCGTCGTAGTGGTCGCTCTGATACTTATACTTTGCATTTGTGGTATATTTCTCTCTCTCTCTCTCTCTCTCTCTCTCTCTCTCTAAACATTTTTACCAAAATTTTGTTAAATAATTTATATAATATTTCATCCAAATAATCAGTAATAAAAAATCGCGATTCAAGTGAAAAAAAATCGATACCACAGTCAACCAGTGCTTTGCCGACAAAAATGACGGATAACACGGATAAGGTTGGATCAATTAAATCAGGACCACAATCACCGATCAAATTGGACGGAACGTCGGAACCTCCGCCTCCGCCTCCGCCTCCTCCTCCTCCTCCGCCGCCGCCACCACTTCCAGAAATATCATCGGCAAAAACGACTGAAAAGACGCCACCGGTTGAAAAAGAGTCGGACACAGCGGTAGCACCGAATTCAGATGGACAGCCAACTGTTGTTGAGGAGAGTAATGAAGATCCGACACATGAATCGGAAACAACACAAACAACGGTGACGGACACAAAATCGGATGAAACAGTGATCAACATCGATGCCGAACCCACTGCCGACAAATCTAACGGTTCCTGAAATAGTCTGATTCATACTGTGATTAAAATCGATACACAACTACTACAACAAACAGAAATTATTATCAAAAAATTAATTATTATTATTGTGTTTTTTCAACTATAAGTTTTGTTATTATTATCATATAAATTGATTCAAAATGTTTTTTATTAACAAAAAAAAATTAAATATAACTCAATACATATAATATTAATTTTTTCAACTAAAATTTACAAATTTATCAAATTTTTTAACTAAAATTTATCTATTGTATATATATATATATTTAATTTATTAGTTTAGTTAAACTTAATAAACTATTTACTATAGATTAAGTTTTTTAAAAATAAATAAATTAATAAATAAAAATAATACTATCACTGTATTTAATTTATTTTATAATAATTTTATAGGAAACTATTTTATGGCTAAATTAATTATCATAAATAAAATTTTATTTATAGTAAACAATCTCTATAATAATTTTTATTTATCACTATTAAGTTGTATAAAAAAATAACTAAATATAAATTATTACAGATATTTAGTTTTTATTTTATGCATTATATTAAAATTAAGTATTGATTTAGTGTATTGACATTTCAAGGGTATTATTAATTATTAAACACTAATTATGAATATTTTAAAAAAAATTAATTGTTGAGTTATAATGAATTTAATTTAAAAAAGTTGTATATTTATAAATCAGTATTAAGTTATACATTAAATAACATAATGATTAACTTAACCGTTAATATTGTCAAAAAATAGATAAATAAAAGGATGTATAAAATTAGATTATTTATGGCATCAAATAAGTAATGAATTAAATTTTAGTTTTTGAATTGTTTTTTTTTCTATTGTTTAATTTGTAAAATTGTTTACCAATTTTTTGTTTGTTTGTTTTTTTATCATCACATATATACTACTTATAGATTATTGTGGTTATCGTCATCACTAGCTGTACCCATACTATCCACTAATTGGTATACAAAACGTTGTGAAATGAAATCAATTAAATTATTACCTAAAAAATTATTGAATAATAGTATTATAAAACTTGTTTACATGAGTAATACAAACAGTGATAGTAGTAGTGGTGGTAGTGGTGGTGGTAGTAGTGGTGGTAGTAGTGGTGGTATTAGTGGTGGTATTAGTGGTGGTAGTAGTGGTGGTAGTAGTGGTGGTAGTAGTGGTGGTAGTAGTGGTAGCAGTATTACCATTGGTCTCAGAGGTAGTAGTAGTGATAGTAGTAATAATATTATACTTAAAATAACAATAATTTAATGTTAATTTTTTATTTAATATATAAAGATTATGAAATACAAGCCATGGTAATTGTGCGACCATTCAATTATGAAACCAATAAACCATTTGGTAGAGGAACGGGATATATAGCCGACAACATCAACAACTATATCGTAAGCAACAGTCATGTGGTCAGAGGATCAGTTAAAGTGGAGATTGAATTATACAATCTCTACTCAATAGACAAACTGTTTGGACAACAATCGGGATCAGAAATGTTTGCAAAAAAAATTGATAAAGTATTCGGTGATGTCGTATACGTTGAACAACACACCGATATGGCGTTCATACAACTCCGGGATGTACTGCCCGATGTTGTACCGCAGCTCGAGTTGGCCACCGATTTGCCTGAATGTGGTGAACCGGTAGTTGCTATGGGTAGCGGTCACACCGATTATACGCCAATTGACGGTATAGTGTCGATGGTAACGGTACCGACAATCAACTACTGGTATAACTGTTACAGTATGGACATTGGCGACAACGTACAACTAGTCTATCATACGGCTTATACTGTACCCGGTTATTCTGGTTGTCCACTAATAGATAGCCAAACCAAAGTAGTGGCCACTGGTTTTTGTCACGTGGCCTACGAACGTGATGTGGCCGCCGGTGATGTCTTAGGTTAGTTATTGGATTCAATATTCAATTCAATTTTTTAAAAATTATAAATAAGTTAAATACTGTATAATACTGGATAATAAAAATACATTTTTTTCATATAATTAAATGAAGGTTTCATTCAACGAGCAAAACTCTATAGCCATCAACAACTATCAGTTAATAGACGTCAAAAACTAGTGGAACAGTATATAAAAGCACCGGGAGTTCAAATGATAGGAATTGTAGTGTCAGATAGTTTTGAAATTATTACAATCTTACCCGGCTGTCAATTCAAGTAATTTTCTACTACTACTACTACTAATTACTAATTAAATTAGTAATAATTTTTTTAGGATATATTAATAAAAAGAAATAATTTTATTTTGTTTTTTCATTATAGAAAATTATACAAATATGCAAAATATGATTGTATTTATAGTATTAATGGCCATCAGTTAACTCATATCAAACAATTGACTGACGCTATCAATAGTGTCACTGATGTCAATAGAAATATCATACCTATAATAAAAGTTTGGCATTATTTAGGTTTTTATAAGGATTATACAATTACAACATTTAGTATCAATGATGATGATCTAACAAATCAATCAATTGTTATTTAATATATCGATATATATATATAATTAAATACTATGGTTATGTTATTAAATACTATACACTAAATGTAAATATTTATATTATTTTTTTATGTATAATACATAATACAGTATTATATACAGTATTATTACATACAATAATATTGCAGTTTTTATATATTAAATAAAATTTGTTTACTATTTTTTTAAACACATTTATAAATATTCATAAAAATAATATATATAAAAATGTATAGCATTTAATTTATAGACTTTTTTTTTTAAAAAAAATTATTACATAAGTATTACAAAAATTTAAATAATAAAATCTACTGTATATTTACTGTTATATATTAGATTACTGATAACTTTTGTAAAAATATGTATCAATTTATTTAGTAAATCAATTAATAGAAAAATTGTAATAAATTATTTTATAAATAAATAAAATATTTAAAATAAAAATTAATAAATAGACTATAGCTTTATATAGACATTTCAATAACCATTAAAAATGATTTTTATTTAATTAATTGTTAACATGTAATGATTATCATGAATTAAATTTAAATTTATAGATTCAACAACAAAAAACCTTTAAGTATAGAAATATAGAGTTAGAAAATAAAAAATAATGTATAAAATTAGATTATTAGCTGTACTACCAATACTGTCCACTATTTGTTATACAAAACGTGGTGAACAACTAATTAGTCAATTGATGAAATCAATTAAAATATTACCGATAAAATTATTAACAGACAATAGTATTATAAAATCGGTTTATATGAGTAATACATATAACAGTGATAGTAGTAGTGATAGGGGTAGTGATAGGGGTAGTGATAGGGGTAGTGATAGGGGTAGTGATAGGGGTAGTGGTAGTAGTGATGGCACTAATAATGGTGATAATAAGGATAATTTAATGCAAATTTTGAAAGAGTATGAAATACAAGCCGTGGTAATTGTGCGACCATTCAATTATGAAACAAATAAACCATTTGGATTGGGAACGGGATATATGGTCGACAATACCAATAACTATATTCTAACCAATTGTCATGTTGTCAGAGGATCGGCTAAAATGGAAATTGAATTATACAATGTCTACGCAATGGATAAATTATTTGGACAACAATCGCCACAACAACAACAACAACAACCATCACCAGAACTGTTGGCAGAAAAAATAGATAAAGTTTTCGGTGATGTCGTATATGTTGAACAACACACCGATATGGCGCTCATACATCTCCCAGATGTACTGCCCGGTATCATACCTCAGCTAGAGTTGGCCACCGATTTGCCTGAATGTGGTGAACAGGTAATTGCTTTGGGCAACGGTGATACAGATTTTACGCCAATTGACGGCATAGTGACAATGGTATCGGTGCCGACAATCAACAACTGGTATAACTGTTACAGTCTGGACATTGGCAACAATGTACAGCTAGTCTATCATACGGCCTATACTGTACCCGGTTATTCTGGTTGTCCACTGATAGATAGCCAAACCCATGTAGTGGCCTCGGGTTTTGGTTATGTGGCCGATGAGTTTGATGTGGCCACCGATGATGCGTTAGGTTAGTAGTCATTTAGAAAATAATATATTTGTTTATTTTAAAAAAAATATATACAGTATATATATAATAATAATTTTTATTATATACTGTTTATACTGTAATACTGTATATAAAGGTTTCATTGAACGGGCAAAACTCTATCGCGATAAACAACTATCAGTTAATAGACGCCTAAAACTTATGAAACGGTATGCAAAAGCACCTGAAGATAAACTAATGGGAATGGTATTGACAAATACATTTGAAATTATTACAGTTTTGCCTGACTGTCCGATCAAGTAATTTCAACTGATATTACTAGTATTTTACTACTAATTACTAATAATTTAGTTATATTTTTTTGTGGATATAATTTGTTTTTTTTAATAGAAATTTTGCAAAATATGATTGCATTCGTAGTATTAATGGTCAGCCATTGACTGATATGAAACAATTGACTGACGCTATCAATGGTAGCAATGATGTCAATAAAAATATCACAATAAATGTTTGGCATTATATCGGATATTATATGGATTATCAAATTATACCGATTAGTATTAGTGATGATCTATCAAAACAATCGCTACTTATTTAATATACAAATCTAAATACAAATTTAAAAAGTATGATACAGTATAATACAGTTTAATAGACAATATTACTGTATAAATATATATTATTTTCAATACATAACTAAATAATTATACTGTAGTTTATGAAAAATAAAATAATGTTTAATTTGTTGACACATTTACATATCAATTATCATTTAAAAAATATACCAATTATAAAAAAGTATATCAATTGTATCAATTTAGATATTTAATTAAGATAGAAACTTCAATAATCATTGTTGAGTATATTTATTATGATTTTCAATTATTTTTTTCAAATTTAATTGTTGATTTGTAATCATTTAAATCAATTAAATTTAAATTTTTTAATCATCATAAATATAAAGTAAAAAATTAGTTATAATGATATTAATGTATTAACCGTTAACATCAACTAAACATGTATAAAATTAGATCATTTATGGCATCAAATAAGTAATTAAATTATTTCGTTGTTGTTGTAAAATTGTCGGACAATTTGATTTAATTTTTTTTTAATCATTACATATACTTCTAGATTATTGTGGTTACGATCATCAGCTATATTACCAATACTATCCACCATTTGGTACACAAAACATGGTGTACCACAAGTGAATCAATTGATAAAATTATTGAACAATAGTATAATATCAATAAAACCGGTTTATTTGACTAATATAGACAGTGATGTTAGTAGTGATGGTAGTGGAGATAGTTGTGAGAGTGATAGTGGACAGTATGCTGGAGAAGCTAATAATATGACAGTATATTTGAAAGTTCTTGAAATGCAATCAGTAGTAGCTGTCAGACCATTCAATTTTAAAGACAATATATTTTTCCCTATCCATGGAACGGGATATATGGCCGACAATACTAACAACTATATCGTAACCAATAGTCATGTGGCGGAAGGATCGGCTAAAATAGAGATTGAATTCTACAATATCTACAAAATGAATGAACTGTTTGGACAACAATCCGTAGTGTCGTTAGTGTCGGGAAATGCAGATATAGAGCGGGTTATCGGTGATGTCGTATACGTTGAACAACACACCGATATGGCACTCATACAACTGGTTGATGTATTGCCCGGTATATTAGATCAGCTTGAATTGGCTACAGATTTACCAGAATTAGGTGAACCGATATTTATTTTGGGTAACGGCGATATACACTTCACACCAATCGATGGTATAATAACGAGAGTATCGGTATCGACAATCAATAACGGATATGATATATTTGGTTTGGATATTGACAACAATAAACAACTGGTCTATCATAATGCCAAAGCTATGGCCGGTTATTCCGGTTGTCCGGTAATAGATAGTCAAACCAGTCAAGTGGTCGGCACAGAGTTTGCATACGTGTTTGGAGAGTTTGAAGTAGCAATTAATGATGTGTTAGGTTAGTAGTAGTAGTAGTAGTAGTAGTAGTAGTAGTAGTAGTAGTAGTAGTAGTAGTAGAGTAGTAGTAGTAGTAGTAGTAGTAGTAGTAGTAGTAGTAGTAGTAGTAGTAGTAGTAGTAGTAGTAGTAGTAGTAGTAGTAGTAGTAGTAGTAGTAGTAGTAGTAGTAGTAGTAGTAGTAGTAGTAGTAGTAGTAGTAGTAGTAGTAGTAGTAGTAGTAGTAGTAGTAGTAGTAGTAGTAGTAGTAGTAGTAGTAGTAGTAGTAGTAGTAGTAGTAGTAGTAGTAGTAGTAGTAGTAGTAGATAATTACAATTATATACAACAACAAAATTATTTACTGAACTGTTTTATATAAAGGTTTCATTGAACGGGCAAAACTCTATCGCGATAAACAACTATCAGTTAATAGACGTCAAAAACTTAGGAAACGGTATGCAAAAGCACCGGCAGATAAACTATTGGGAATGGTATTGACAAATACATTTGAAATTATTACAGTTTTGCCTGACTGTCCGCTCAAGTAACTAATTAATTAATTGAACTTATATTATGAATACTACTACTAATTATTATAATTTTGTTATTTATATACTATATATATATATATATTCTTAATTAAATTAATTTTATAGATATTTTGCAAAATATGATTGCATTCATAGTATTAATGGTCAGCTATTGACTAATATGAAACAATTGACTGATGCTATCAATGGTACCAATGGTGTCAATAAAAATATTAAAATAAAAGTTAGACATTTTATCGGATATTATATGAATTATTCAATTACACCGTTAAGTATTAGTGATGATCTATCAAAACAACCGCTTCTTATTTAATGTATAAATAATTAACTAAATAATTATCAATTTAACAAATGAAATATTATTTTTTTTAAAAAACTATAATACACACTAAAATTATATATACTTTATTTTAATAATTTTAAATAATAATTATATTGTATATATATATAAATTAAATAAAATATGTTTACTTTTTTTGTTGACACATTTATATATCTATTATCATTTTATAATATAGAAATATTATATTATGTCAATATATATACTTATTCAGTAATTAAGTTAAACACTTGTTGAGTATTTATTATGATTTTTAAAAAAATTATTTTGTGAACTAATTGTTGATTTTTAATCAATAAGCATCAAATTTAATTTTGGGGGTTCTTTACTATAGCTGCCACTTGTTGTTCACGCGATTAATATTTAATACAATTTTAATGATAAATATACTAATATCGCGTGAATTACAATTAATTTATTATACATTAAATTAGAGAATGTTTTCTATCATATGTCTGTCTTGAAAGTTATGTCTGTATTGGTATTATGGTTATTAAGTATTAGTGTTTGTCCCATTACATAACCTGGTGTTCGCCTCTCAACCTTAAGCTAATTATAATGGTATTACACAAATGTTAACCTAACCTAACTTAATGTATTAGTGTTTGCTCCGTTACCTAACCTGGTGTTCGATCCGCAACCTAACCTAATTATAATGGTATTACACAAATGTTAACATAACCTAACCTAATGTATTAGTGTTTGCTCCGTTACCTAACCTGGTGTTCGATCCGCAACCTTAACCTAATTATAATGGTATTACACAAATGTTAACTTAACCTAACCTAAAGTTGTTAATTAAATTAATAACTTATTTGTTATGTAGAAAATTTTATTTTTTTAACATTTATTTACAATAAAAATTAATTGTAATTCACGCGACATTAGTATATTTATCGTTAAAATTGTATTAAATATTAATCGCGTGAACAACAAGTGGCAGCTATAGTAAAGAACAGCCTTAATTTTCTAATTCAATCTAAATTCAAATCTAAATCAATCATTATAAATATACAGTAAAAAATAGTCAATGATATTATTAACATATTAACCGTTAACATCAACTAAACATATATAATTTTTATATAACATTAGATTATTACTATGGCATCAAATAAGTAATTAAATTATTTTGTTGTTGTTGTAAAATTGTCGGACAATTTTTTTTTTAAAAAAAACTTTAATCATTACATATACTTCTAGATTATTGAGATTATCATCATCAGTGATACTACCAATAATATCAACCATTTGTTACACAAAACATGGTGTACCACAAGTAAATCAATTGTTAAATCAATTATTGAATAATAGTATTATAAAACTGGTTTATACGAGTAATATAAATAGTAGTGATAATAGTAGTGATGATAGTTATGGTATTGACGATAGTAGTGGTGATAGTAGTAGTAGTAGTAGTAGTGAAGTTGGAAAGGCTGTTAATATGATTGTATATTTGAAACAGTATGAAATTCAGGCTGCGGTAGTTGTACGGCCATTTGATTTTTAAAACAATAGATTTTATGGTATCCGTGGATCGGGATATATTGCCGACAATACTAACAACTATATCATAACCAATAGTCATGTGGCGGAAGGATCGGCTAAAATAGAGATTGAATTCTACAATATCTTCTCAATGGACGAACTGTTTGGACAACAATTGCAACCATCGGCACTATTGTCGGGAATTGCCGAAATAGATCGGGTTATCGGTGATGTCGTATACGTTGAACAACACACCGATATGGCACTCATACAACTCCAGGATGTATTGCCCGGTGCCTTAATTCAGCTCGAATTGGCTAAAGATTTACCAGAATTAGGTGAACCGATAGTTATTTTAGGTAACGGTGATCCCAGATTTCCGCCAAACGATGGTATAGTTACGAGTGTAACGTTGCCGACGACACTCAGCAACGGATATCAAATATTTAGTTTGGATATTGACAACAATAGACAACTTGTCTATCATAATGGATATATTAAAAACGGTTATTCCGGTTGTCCACTAATAGATAGTCAGGCGAAAGTAGTGGCCACAGAGTTTGCATACGAGGAACCGTTTGAAGTGGCAACCAGTGATGTGTTAGGTTAGTAGTAGTAGTAGTAGTAGTAGTAGTAGTAGTAGTAGTAGTAGTAGTAGTAGTAGTAGTAGTAGTAGTAGTAGTAGTAGTAGATAATTACAATTATACAGAAAATAAATTAATAAATAAATACTTTACTGTATATAAAGGTTTCATTGAACGATCAAAAATCTATCGCAATAAACAACTATCAATTAATAGACGTGAAAAACTTATGAAACGGTATACAAAAGCACCGGCAGATAAACTAATGGGAATGGTATTGACAAATACATTTGAAATTATTACAGTTTTGCCTGACTGTCCGCTCAAGTAATTGAACTGATATTACTATTACTACTAATTTAATACCAATACTACTAATATTACTAATACTAATATTATTATAATTTAGTTATTTAATTGTGATATATTTTTTTTTAAATAGAAATTTTGCAAAACATGATAGCATTCATAGTATTAATGGTCAGCCATTGACTGATATGAAACAATTGACTGATGCTATCAATGGTACCAATGATGTCAATAAAAATATTATAATAAAAGTTTGGCATTATATCGGATATTATATGGATTATTCAATTACACCGTTAAGTATTAGTGATGATCTATCAAAACAATCATCAATTGTTATTTAATATACACATAAATTTAATTAAATATCTGAATGTAATTAATATAAATTATAGAAAATAATTAAACTTTTAGGACACATAAACTTTTTTTTAGGAAAATATAATACTATTTTTTCAGTCATTTTAATAAACATGATTTGACGAAAAAAAAACAATTAATTAAATTAATGTATTATACATACAGTTGTTATATGAATTGAATGAATGAATATTAATGAATATAAACTGATATTATTAACAAATTTATTATAATTTTTGTATTATTATTATAATTTATAACAAATAAAAAACTGTTTGTCTATTATTTTAATATAATAAAAATTTATTATACTAAATATTGTTTTTAAAAATTTTATTTGTTTAGTAATATTATTATGAATCTGTTAACTAACTAAATAATTTGACAAAATAACAAACATTATTTAAATTATACAATAAATATACTGTAAAATCAAAATAAAATTTAGTTTTTTTGTTGTTGTAATCATATTATAATAGATAGTTTACTAAATAATAGTTATTATACTAAATCTAAACCGCTACGAAAACCGATGGTGCAGATTATTGCCGATGTGGCCGCCATCAGTTGGTAGTCAAACAGTGGCCGTACGCCTCCGCCGCCGATAAAAACCAATCCGGACATATGGCCAACATTACTGCACGGATAGTAGTCGTTGCAAAGTTTACCATCCGGTTGATTGGGTTTCAATCGGCCACAGTTTGACTGATTGGGCGGAAACTTGATTTTTGAACACTTTGTCATTAGGTTACGAAAATTTTCGTCCTTTACATCAGCCGATGGAACAGCTTCGGGACAGTTGTCTGTCTGTTAAGAGTCACATATAATAACAATAACAACAAATAGTTATATACATCGCCAACCCCAACCCCAACCTCAACCTCAACCCCAACCCCAACCTCAACCTCAACCCCAACCCCAACCTCAACCTCAACCTCAACCCCAACCCCAACCTCAACCCCAATCCCAACCTCAACCCCAACCCCAACCCCAACCTCAACCTCAACCTCAACCCCAACCCCAACCTCAACCTCAACCCCAATCCCAACCTCAACCCCAACCTCAACCCCAACCTCAACACCAACCTCAACTTCACCCCCAAACCCAAACCCCACTCCCCCTGTCCTCCCGGACGACCTGTTTTAAAATACATACCAATTGACCATTGATTGCACAGTACAGTTCGGCCAGTGCGCAACATTTTTTCGGCGACATCTGGTCATCATTGTTGGGCGAATCCGGCACTAGTTTCCACCGTATGAGTGCACAGTTAGTAACGTGTTTCACAAGTTTTGAACAATTGTCCAGCGATTCATTAGCCGATAATCGGCTGCTGTTGTCGCCACTGTCGCTCCCGTCGCCGCCATTAACGACCGACAATATTAGCGATAACAATGAGACGATAACAGTGATTGTCGTCACCGGCGCCGCCGTTGCCGATAGTGACCAGTGATGGCAGTGATTCATGTTTTTTCAAAAAAAAGATTAATTTGACGTTGACATAGAAATTCAAAAATAATATGAAATGTATATAATTTAGTTATATTTGAATATTAAATTTTACACGTGATATAAAGCACGCGCGCTTGTATATTTAATATATATTTTTATTTATTTATTTATTTCAATTTGTAATATTTAAGTCATATTATATAACATGTATTTATTAATATTACATGTATTAATATTATTATTTTTTTTTTTAATAAAAAGTGCATTATTTTTTATGCGCGCATTATATTGTTATACTATTTTCAAGTTAATTATTAACTATAATTACTAATTGATTATTAACTAAAATTATTATGTTGACAGTTAGTTAGTTAGTTAGTTAAATGGCTAGAAAATTATTAGTGATTATTGCCAATAATATTGATTTATATAGATTATTGTCAACAGTATTGTATAGCAAACGTTGCTATAGTTGTCGTCGACCGATTGAACCGTTACCGATGATATGGACAACAATTATTAAATCTAAAATACCTGACCTGTGTTTAGCTAAGGCAATGATGACGACTATGACGACAACTGATAAGATAGACATTCAAACATTAAGGGACAGACATATGAAATCAATACTCTTATTACAAACGTTTAGCCTAAACAATAGTACCGATTATCTATCGCACGGAACGGGTGTTTTGGTAGACAATAGGGCAAACCTTGTACTGACTAACTATCATGTTGTTCGCGGTTTGGTTAACGTGTCGGCAGTTTTCAACTTTTCCTATCGTGTCGACCAATGGACAGACTTTCCCAGTGAGAAGGGAGAGTGGAAGGTGGAGTCGACTGACACAACAATAGCTAAAGTACTATACGTTGAGCCGCACAGGGATTTGGCACTCATACAGCTTCAGCATATGATTACAGGTGCACTGCCGGCAATGCAATTATCAGATCGTAGCCAACAATTAGGCGAACCGGTAGTTTTTATGGGTACAGCCCGCGGTCTGCCGCATACTATGTGCGAAGGAATCGTCAGTACAGTTACGCCATTGAATAGGATATCGTTTACCAGTTTTGTACCGCTGGCCGACCAGATGTCAGCCGACGAACAGTTTGTCATACACTATCCCGATACGGCTCCCGGTTTTTCGGGTAGTCCTATGATCGCTGCCGCCGACGACGACTATAATATTATTGGCATTCATTTTGCTGGACTGGCACTGGGATCCAAACCGCAGGTTACTATTTCGGGTGCCAGTGTTATCGGTATACTTTAAATATATATTAAATTTTTATTATTTTTCTGGCCATACAATTAACATATTTTTTTTAATTACTTTTTAAATAGAGTTTATGAATAATGGCTACAATTATGCCAATTCGGTGACGGCAGACAATCAGATAACTGAGCGCTTAAAACGTTATAAACCAGTAGTAGTAGTATCGGGTAGTAGTAATATAATAGGCATTGTTTTGGCCAATGATAGCATCAATGGTTTTGTTGTTACCGATTTTTTACACCATTACACCAGTGATATGTATATTTAAAAAAAAATACTTTATTATTTTGATTTGTAAATTGTATGCAAAAAAAATTTCAAAACAAATTAATTGCACAGATTTGAACTTCAAGTAAATGATGTGATTATTGAGATCAATGGCCAAATGTTTAGTAATATACGGCAATTAAGTGATATAATCAATGATCCGGATATTATATACGGATTGGATGATGATTTTGACGATGACTTTGATATGACACCTGTGATTAAGTTGAAGATTAGGCGAAACAATGGGGAAATGTCGGCGAAAGTGGGTTTTAAAGATATTAGAGATGATATGCCATCAATATTTTGATATATCTAAAAATATACAGTAGTTTTTAATATACAAAACAATAACATAAAATATATTTTACTTTATAATTTATAAATTAAATTTATAACATATTTACAAATATATAGAAAAATAATAAAAATATAATTATATCTGAATTGAATAAATAAAATACATACTTTCTATTGGATCTGAAAAATTTGAATATTTATTGATTTCTAAAAAAAAATTACAGTAGTTTTTAAGATTATATAATTAATTTTCTGTATTAATATAGTAATAGTAATAATAATAAAATAATCATAAAATAATTTCATCGAAATGATAGTTTAAATATACTTTTTTTTTAAAAATACATTGATTTATAAAATAATGTTAAAAACTATAATACACATATAACAACAATATAACCCATTAAAATCAAAATTAATAAAATTAAGTTCAAAAAAAACTTTATTATAATTGACGGTTAAAATTGATATTATATTTGATTCATACAAGTAGTATACTGTTATATAGTATTTTTAAAAAACAATTATTATGGGCACAGTTGTGTTTGCAGCACTTGTATGTATCATTCAGTTTAATGGATATCAACAACAAAATGGATTCTTAAGTAATCAAGTGATTCCTGGGTTTCCTGGATTTACTGGTTTTAGTGGGTTTCCTGGGTTTCCCGGTATTCCTGGTATCGCAACAACTAGGATTCCCGGTATTCCTGGTATCGACAACACTGGGATTCCCGGTATTCCTGGTATCGCCACCACTGGGATTCCCGGTATTCCTGGTATCGACAACACTTGGATTCCCGGTATCGCCACCACTAGGATTCCCGGTATTCCTGGTATCGACAACACTGGGATTCCCGGTATCGCCACCACTAGGATTCCCGGTATTCCTGGTATCGACAACACTGGGATTCCCGGTATTCCTGGTTTCGATACCACTGGCATTCAGTTGCCTGTGTTTAACCTAACAAATCCCATCAATACTGGCATCGTTACCACTGACCAGATTACATGGCCAAACTGGGACATTACACAAACAAGTCGATTACCAGATGAAGAAACTCAAACTAATAGTGATGTTGTTGTTGATGATACCAGTACTGTCAATAGTGGCAATGGCGATGACGATACCACCACTACTACTAGTAGTAGTAGTGATGATGGATATAGTGTTTTTACAGAAGCTGAAACCATCAGTGAAACCAATGATGGCACCAATGAAAACACTGTAGTAACCATCAGTAGTATCATTGCAACGGCAATTGATGAAACTGATAGTCCAACTGGCGGTGATAGTATTGCAACCGTTACTGGCAATGAAGCCGACATAACTGCTAGCAGTCAGGCCACCGGTATTCCCGATGACGAAAATACTGGTAATAGTTTTACAACTATTAGTGACACTGATATTACCGGCAACGACAACACAACTATTATTACTACTACTGGAGTTGAAGGCACTGATGGTAGTGGTAACGGTACGGCTACAGGTATTACTGGTGAAGACGGTACTAATTCAATTGATTTAATCAGTACAACCATCGATGGTAATAATGTTCCTACAACTGACAAAACAACTGCTCCAACATCGAATAGTGATGACAAACCATCTGACACTTCTGGCACTGGTATGTGTTTGTCTTAAAATGATTTAGTGTTTAAAAAACAGATAATAATACTAATCTTCTCTATACAGAAACCACTCCAACAACAACAACAACGAAGACAAATATGACGACCACTACGCCGACGGCGACAACAACCAAATCAAAGAAAAAGTCAAATCACATGTTGTTTTGGATAATATCCGCTGTATTTGTCGGATTGGGTATATTGATCGGTCTCATAGCTTATTGTAAGTCCTATCAACAACAACAACAACAAATTTCAACTATACCTACCATAATACCCAATTTGATCCACTATTTTCTGTCCTAATTTTTTTTGTTTACACGAATAGGTTTGCTGACTAAACGCAGTCCAAAACGCAAACACAGTTCACCACCGAAGACACCGTCGACTGGTAAGGAAAGGCCAATGAAATCGCCGCCAAATGCTACGAAAGCCGCCGCCACCGGCGGTAAATCATTGGACACCAATGATGTAGAGGCCGGTGCTGTCAAGTCATTCGGATCCGACGAGTCTATTGTTTCTGTACAATCAAAATCCAATCCTAGTGTTTAAAAAGCCACCAAATATTTGATTGAAACCATAATAATATAGTAATAATTATATTATTATTATATTATTAATAAGAAGTCCAATAGTTTTATGTTTTTTTTTGTTTAATTTAGTTTTTGTTAAAATTTTTTTTGTTTTGTTTTTTTGTCTCTTTCATTATTAAACATTTAAATGTATGAAATATAATAAAAAAAATACCCACTAATTGTTTATTTAGTTGAAATTGAAGATTTATTTCATATAATTCTACATTATTTTACTGTTATTATAAACAATTGATTAATAAAAAAAATAACTTTTAATTTACTTCACGTTATCTGTAAGAAACTTGATTTTTTAAAAAATACTATTAGTATTGAAAAAAACACAAAAATAAATTTCAGTTATAAAAGAAACTAAAGTAAAAGTTTTATATATATATATATTGATATTTATTTATTAAAATAGTTTATAAATTTGTTTAGTTTTAAAAAATAAATAATATACAGTGTGTATAACTGATCCATCAAATTAATGTATATGACATCGACATCGTTTAGTAATACTATCCGTACCATACCGTTGGTCATTATTATTGTAATTGAATTGATATCGTTTGACATTAACCACTATAATCATCATCTTGTGTTAGCTGATACTATCAATAGTAATAGTAGTAGTCTTAGTAAAGCCAGTCCAGAGCAACCTAATGCCACAACAACTATAACAGTCTCAACCATTGTCAATGATACCAGTGATGGTAATGGTATCACAAATACATCATTTATGATTATAACTGATGATGACACCATAGGTATACATACATACACACACACACACACACACACACACACACACACACACACACACACACACACACACACACACACACATATATATACACACACATACACACACAAACTTTCATATTGTTTGATTTATGTTTATTTTTTTATTCCCATAAAAAACCTAAATAATATTTAACAGCAAATTCAACGATAACAACAAAAACTGGTGACAATGTTGAACTGATTCCACCAAAAGTCGCCAAATCAAGACATCCGACCACTTTGTTTTGGGCTATTGTTTGTATAGTCATAGCATTGGGTGTTATCCTTGGACTTATCTGTCGCTGTAAAATACATGCAATCATATATGGAATAAATAAAATTAGTATTAATTTATTTTAAATGTTTTATCTTTTTGTTTGTTTGTTTGTTTTAGTTATACAGCGATCAAAACTTCAAAACAGGACACCTCCGACACCGCCAAAGGTCAAGTCAAAAGACCAACGGATAGTATTGATACCTAAATCAGATGATACCGTTGCTGCTGCTGGTGGTGGTGCTGATGCCGATCGCACCAAATAATAACACAATAGACTTATTATAATATTTTTGTTTTGTTTTTTAAGATTTAAAAAATCAATTTATATACATATATATATATATTGATAGTATTTTGCTGTACACAATAGTACATATAATATAAATTACATTTATATATTTAATATGTTTGTTTAAATTTATAATTATCAATATTTAGTTATGTTAAATATAAATTATGAATTATCATAACAAAATATTTATATTATTGATATAAAAAAATACTAAAATTATTATTATATCTTTTTACATATAAAGTTATAATATAAATTTTTTATAAATATAGGTGTTTTTTAATAATGATCTCTTATCTAAAATTAATAAAAAATAAATATTTCATTAGTAATAACTATAACTATATTATGTTTATTTCAATTATAGGTTGTATTAAATATCATTAGATAATCAATTAAAAAATTAATTATCATTAATTATTTTTATATCTAATATACATTAGAAATTATGTTATTTGAAAATAATATTAATAATTGTCCCAAATTAAAATATCATTATTTATTGCAATGAATATTATTTTTGCATTTTTTTCAGTAAAATTTGAGTCCCAGTAATAATCTTTATTAATATATTTATTAATTATTTCTTTGTAATTATATATATTAGATAATTATTTCTAAAAATTAGTTTCAAAACAACTATTTTAATTAGTATCACATGAATTAAAAAATAAATAAAATAATAATTACAATATTCTATAAATGTATTAATAAATATAATATTTGTTTTATGCTTATAGTAACAAATAATTGTAATATTTTAACTTTTAATAAATTTTTATGAAATTGTTTTTTTCTAATTATAATATATTTTAATTTCTAAACTACTTATTATAAACTATGCGTTTAACAAAATATGATATCCTATTGTATTTATTGGGCGAAAAGTGCTATCGATTGGGATTTCCTAAATATAATCCTAACTATAAACATATATCTAATAATAAATTAAACAAATTATTTAATATATGTTGTTTTGTTGAGCTATTGAAAACAATTTACTATTATTATCTAAATAATAATCAATACAATAGTTATTTGGGTGAATGGCCTGATTTTGGTAAAAAATGTTTTACTATATCAATAGTTTGTTCGTATATAATCAAATCAATTAGTAATAAAAGTTTTCACAACTTTAATAATAAAAAACACTTATTATATAATATTAATGGTATACCAAATATAAATACCAAATATAAGTCTATTATAAGATACTATAAATTATTTAACAAACTAATAACAAGTTTAATATTATTTTGTGTACTAATATATCCATTGATAACAATGTCATTGTACTATACATTCAATCAATTGATAACATTTGGCTTAATTTGGTCAGTATTTTATGCGTTTTGTGGCTATAAATCACAATTACTATTAACCTATAATATCATATATTTTTCGACAATATGTTTATATTTGAAATATCAATTGAAACAATTGAATTGGAAAATTGAAAAATTAAATAAACTAAACATATTGTCGAATAATAAACAAAATCAGTTATTTAGAAATATATTGTTTAAAAAATTAAATAAATTTTATATTAGAAATTATACGATCAATAAATTATGGTCATTAATATTATTATACTATTGGCTATTTTATTATTTAATGACATCGTGTCCAATAATAGCATTTATTGAGGCAACTAAATATAAAAGCAATACATTTACATTTATAACATTGATCCTGGGTTCATTAATATGTTTTACATCTATTACATTAGTAATACTATTAGCCAGTAATATCAATACGGAAGCTAAACATACATATAAATTAATGAATAGTTTAAACAGTAATAAATTGTTTCAATTGAATACAAGTCATACATTGCTTAGAAAATTTAAAGTAAGTTTTTTTTCATATAAATTATTTCATTTAAAAAATAATATACAGTATATTGCAAAATAATAATATAAAATACATAATAATTATTATTATTATTATTGTTAATTAGTTGCTAAAATTAATTGAATTGATGGCAAAACCGAAAATTGGTTTCTATTGTTGGAAATTATTTTTAATCAATCAATTTACTTATCAAATAGTAATTATATTTTAAACTTATTTTATATGAAAATTTGATTATAAAATTAATTAATAAACTATTTTTTTTTTAAAATTGATTTTTTCATTTAAACAGTTTCTTTATACGACTACAAAAGTCATTTTAAAAATAATTTTATTTATTTGAATTAATTAGTTATTATTGTATTATAATTTTAGTAATAAAATTAGTTTAATGTATTAATAATTTAATGTTTTTTTGTAATATTATAATACACTTTCTAAAAATATGATTACAATAAATTGTAATAAAAATTAATTGGACAACAATATTAATAAATTATAAATTTTTATCAATATATTGTTGCTATTCATGATTTAAAATTTATTAAAAAAAATTAAAAAAAATTATATGATTTGTTAGTTCATTGTCGATCAGAAGATATCAATCAGTTTTTTTTTAAAAAAAAAACCATTTATTTGAATCAAATTATGAACAATAGTAAAGATACCAAAATTGAAAACAATAATGAAGATGCCATCGGCGACAATATGGACATCGGGTATTGTATAGTATAGCTGCCACTTGTTGTTCACGCGATTAATATTTAATACAATTTTAAAGATAAATATATGAATGTCTCGTGAATTACTATTAATTTTATTGTAAATTAGAGAATATTTTCTTTGTTAAGTTTTTCTTGAAAGTTATGTTTCTTTTGAAAGCTATGACTTAAATTTAGTGAACAAAATGATTAATCTAAAGACATTATTTAGACTAATACTTGTCTCACAGGAGACAATGATTAACTGGTGTATAACAATGGGTTTATTATTAGCAACTAAAAAGTGTCCCATTTGTGACAACGAAATGGTAAATAATTAATTTGCAAAAAAATACATTAAAAAATTATTTTCGTAGAAGATAATTGTCAAACAATTATCGTACCGGTGCCACCAAAAGCATGGACAACCTCATGATTATAGACTAAGTGCTTTGAATAATACGTGGTTTTCTGGATCAAAGTTTAGCATTGAAAACATAATAATCTTGACGTACCTGTTTTCGGTCGGCACAACAAAATATGAGGACATTAAACGAGAAACAAGTGATTTAACTAAAACAACATCTCATAACACTATAAGTGATTGGCTTAACTTTTGTCGAGAAGTGGTATTTGATTGGGTCGAAAAATATCAATCAGTTGATCTCTTAGGAGGAGAAGGTAGTATATGATACATATTTAATTATGCACGTTACCTAAACCTAATTATAATGGTAATACCAAACTGATAGTGTATTAGTGTTTGCTCTGTTACCTAACCTGGAGTTCCGACCGCAACCTAAACCTAATTATAATGGTAATACCAAACTGATAGTGTATTAGTGTTTGCTCTGTTACCTAACCTGGAGTTCCGACCGCAACCTAAACCTAATTATAATGGTAATACCAAACTGATAGTGTATTAGTGTTTGCTCTGTTACCTAACCTGGAGTTCCGACCGCAACCTAAACCTAATTATAATGGTAATACCAAACTCATAGTGTATTAGTGTTTGCTCTGTTACCTAACCTGGAGTTCCGACCGCAACCTAAACCTAATTATAATGGAAATACCAAACTGATAGTGTATTAGTGTTTGCTCTGTTACCTAACCTGGAGTTCCGACCGCAACCTAAACCTAATTATAATGGTAATACCAAACTGATAGTGTATTAGTGTTTGCTCTGTTACCTAACCTGGAGTTCCGACCGCAACCTAAACCTAATTATAATGATAATATTTTGATAACTTTTAATTCAGGAGTTGTCGTAGAAATTGACGAAACAAAAGTTGGTAAAAGAAAGTACAATAGAGGTCGACTAGTTGATGGGACGTGGATTTTAGGTTTAGTTGAGATTCAAATAGGAGCTAATTGTCGACGTGGAGGTAGATTTCGTTTAGAAATATGTCCCCTAAATAAAAGAGATGCCGACACTCTTTTACCTTTGATACGTAAGCATGTAAAAATTGGGACAACTATTGTGTCTGACTGTTGGGCTGGATATTATAGACTAACAGACAATGGTATAAATGATAGATAAAACATATTATTAAGTTAATTAATTTTTTAATTTTTAGGTTTTGTCCATTTTACTGTGAATCATTCGAAAGAGTTTGTCAATTCACATACCGGTGCAAACACACAGACCATTGAATCTCAATGGAGAGCTATGAAACGCAATCTTTTAAGAGGGGGTATACCACAAGATAACCTTTATCTACATTTAGCCGAATATCTTTGGCGCCGACACGTACTTCACAACAATTTAGATAATTTTATTTTTTTTATTGATTGTATAAAACAATTATACAACCCTTTAATGTAATTTTAATTACAGTATATACAGGTATATATATATTAATTTGCAATGTAAAATATTATTTCATAATAATATATTTATATTTAATAAAATCTATTGTAATTAACGCGATATTCGTATATTTAACTTTAAAATTGTATTAAATATTAATCGCGTGAACAACAAGTGGCAGCTATACTATACAACAGCCCAAGTGATGACAACAACTCCAACCACAGGAAAGTGGTTTTGTTTTCCAACGGAACCGTTGAATGCAACCCGACTTTGACTGAATTTACGGCAATTGTCAGACCACTACTCGACGAGTTTACCACAGATGTGCTGACATTGAAGACTGGCATTCATCTGATGATTCCTCAGATAGAAGATGGCAACAACTTTGGTGTCGAAGTACAACAGGATGTGTTGGAACTGTTGACTACTGTTGAGGAAGAAATGATTGGTCGCATGAATTTAATTCATAGCTATTACTCGATTCGAGCCGATCTGGTCGTCAAACTTGCAAAACATCCCGACAGTGATGACTATCGTCGGGCTATCGGCCAAAGGGATCAATTGTTTCACAAACAACTCTGTTATATATTGGCATCGATTCGCAACTATTATCTACAAATTCATGACCTGATTGTCAAAAATCTGAAGCGAATCCAGAAACCAAAGTCGGGAACAAACGAAGGATTTCTCTATTGATATGCCTATCATTTCAGTCAAAGTGGTATCGGTTTTTCAGTTGAAAAAACAAAGAGTTAATTAATAATATCTGAAAAAAATAAAATATATTTTCTATTGGATCTGAAAAACAAAAAATAATTGACTAAATTTTTATAAATTCATATTTAAATTATACATTACTTAATGAGAGTATTTATTTTTTTAGTCTTAAGTTTTAATTATCTGAATATTAATCTCAATAATTACTCAAAATTAAATCACATTTACAGTAATATAAAATCTATTACAAATAACACTAATTTAGTGTAAAAAAATTACAAATATTTAATTAATAGTGAAAAAATATTTTAAACTTTATTTTATTAATTAATTGTGTTATAAATAAGTCTACTTTTTAATAATAATAATAATAATAATAATAATAAATAGTAATCTTTTAAAATGCATTTAAAATATAGCATTTATATAAATATGAAAAATACTGTATTATACAATATTTTTGTCTTATAAAAAAATATTACAATAATTTACATTAAATATGGCTATCATAATTATTATTATTATTATTATTATTATTATTATTATTATTATTATTATTATTATTATTATTATTATTATTATTATTATCGTACTATAAATAGTATTATCAAATGACATTTTTTGGATTTATAATAATAAATTTAATATATATATATAAAAAACAATTAATAACATATTTATTATTATTATTATTTAACAACAAATAAAATTAAAAAAAAAATCTTTAAGTAATGAAATAGTTTTATGAAATAAATGCTTTTTTGTTTGTTAATGAAACATATTTTTGTTATTTAGATCATCAAAATGAGAGACATCGACATCCCTGTCCTCCCCCTCCTACTCATTGTCTGGCATTAATTATCACTATCACTGTCATCGACTTCATCCATAAAAGCTATACGTTTTCTTTTTGTTGACTTATTATTATTATTATTCATCTTTTGTGGGCCATCACCGCTACCATTGCTGTCCTCCACTATCTCTTCTTCCGCCGTCTCCTCCTCCTCGTCATCATCGCTGGTCAACACAAGCGTATCAATCAACTGACCATTAGGTCGTTCCCGTTGTCTATGTCGCCAATTGTTTAGACTGCCAACGCTAGTGGGAAATTCGTTCAACACATGGCCGACCATTTGGTCGTCATCGTAGTTAATCGGCGGCAATCGGGGAACCAATACTTTTGACGGCGAAACGCCAAACTCTTCGGCCAAATTATATTCATTTTCGTTGCGTATCTGTTGCAGACATTGTTCAATATGTTTGTCAATCAGTTCGTATCGATTGTAGACAACAAACTCCAGACGTATCAATGCTTTTCGTTGTTCGGCCGAAAAACCGTTTTTCACTTTATTGCCAATCAGTTCGTTGATATAGTCATTATCAGTATCCAGTATATCGCTGTAGTGTCGGGAGTTCATATGATTGGCAATCAAGTGGTCATTGTTTGGTAAATCGGTTTCCGGTCGACAAAGCCGACAGCTGACCGGTGTCCACATACTGTGTTCGTAAAAGTGTGACTTCAGTGCCCAAAATTCTTTGTAACCTTTCGATCGCAATCGATTGGCGCGTCCAATACGAACACAAATAGGACACTCGTAGCGATAGTTATCGTTGTCGCCGGTAGTGCGCCGTCGAAACAGATCCATTTGTTTGGCAACAAAATGTTTGCTCCACTTGTGTATGGGACGGGTGACGTTGTAGTCATCGGAACACGTAGTGATATCGTCAAAGTGGACCATCATGTGGTCCATTGTCGACCGTTCGCTATCCGAAACACTGTCGCAGAACAGACAGACAAACAGTTGACTGGCTTTTGGCACTTCTTGAATGTCGTCGTCGTTATCCGATTCGGGTATAAACTTCTCGATGGTTGTCGTCAAACGTTTCTTTTCCGAAGAGGTCTGTGTCGGCGGTTTCGATACCGGAGTACTGTTGGCGGCCTGTCGTCTTGATTTGTATCGGTCCTCCTCTTCCTGCTCGTCATCCTCATCATCGACAACAACATCGGACTGATCGCTATCGCTAGTGTCCCGTGATTTGCGTTTTGCAAAATATTTACTATGTTTTTGATCGGCCAGACTTTGTTTAGACGAAGTCTGGCCACCACTAGTAGCGGTCGATGGCTTGGTCTTTGAATAAGATGACGAAGAATAGCTGGTAGTCGCTGCTGCCGCTGCCGCATCACTAAGCTTTCGTTGTTTATTTATATTATAAATTTCTTGATAATCATTATCGTCAAGCATTGTCAGTAATGGTCTCTTCAGCGATGGTTTAGTTTGTTGTTGTTGTTGTTGTGTCGAGTTTTGACGACTCATTGGTAATACTTTTGGTAACGGCTTTGATGACGACGACGCCAGACGTGAGGAAGTTATAGATAATGATTTCGGTCTCATCGGTGCAGACGAATTGGTCCGCGATTTCATTCGTTTCATCATTTCTAGGCTTCGCTGTGTTAGTCCAGTCGGATGTCTGAGACCGGCAGTTGTCGTTGACTTTGGTTTGAACAGTGGTCTGGGATTTGAGGGTTTATGAACTAATTTTGACTGTACTCCTCGTTGTTGACCAGTTGATGACAATTGTTTTAATGGTAACCTATTATTATTATTACTGTTATTACTATAATTTGGTCCATTGGCTGAACTTCCAGTCTTTTGTTGCTCTAGTTTACGAAACAATTCATCCCGTGAGTGGCCAAGACCTCCTCTACTGGCGGCGTGCATATCATCATCGGACGAATTATCTTCGGATACATAGCCGCGCGTTTCCCTATCGCTTCGGTCCTGTAGTCGGCGATCCATTTCCAACCTATCGGCCAACAAACTATCATTTTCTGTCCTCTTTGACAACGGTTTTGCCTGATTTGGTCGCCAATTGGCCGGTTTCGGTGCCAACGCTGTACGCGATGCATTCGTAGCCGTCCGGACATTCGGTACACCGCGACAAACATTGCGAGGACCGCCCGCCTGATTGGCCAATCCGGTTGCCTGTTTCAACTGTTTCTCTGTGGTTATCCTACTAACTCTCGGACCACTGTTTGTCTTAAACATATTAACCTCCTGTAATAGTTTGGGAGTCTTTCGTTCGGGAGGTGCCGTCGACGTAGCCACCGATGCCTTATAGTATAGTATATGACGATCGGGATGTTCGTGACAACAGTGACTGACCACTTGTTTACCGTAGGGACTCATGTAGTCGCAGTACAGGCACTGATAGTCGCGCGAATGTTTCGGATCGGAATTATTGAGACGTTCCCATCGATGGGCTGCGTAGTGCTGATAGGCATCGCTAACAGTGGCCAACTTGCCGGTTGCGGTCACCCGTACGGGTGGTACGCATTCAATGACTTTGCATAGCTTGCCATTGAGTTCGCGACGATTTCGTACGGTATAGTCGTAGACGTCCCGATGCATTAGCGACTGATGAACGTAGACATGATCGGCTGTTATGGCCCGATAGAGGCATAGATTGCATTGATATTGGCGGCCACAGTGTTCGGCCAGCATGTGATCGATGAGATCGTCGGGCAATCGCTTGTCGAGTATCTATCGGTAAATGTGGGGAAAAAAATACAAATAAATATTAACTCAGATAATGATTTGACCGATTTTTTTTAACCGATAAACAGACAAACACTACGTACCTTATTATCGTCCTGATTGGCCTTCGGGTAGCAATAGATACAGTGGACGAGTTGTTTCGGATGACAATTCAGACAGTGTCTGGCAAAAGCCATATCGCTGTTATAGGTGGCAAAACATTGTTGGCCACTGGCCGGACCTAATCGCAAATTGAATTTGCTACACTTGTAGAAACGGCGCAATTTGCGGTCGGCCAGTGTCAGGTCCGACGGTGTCGTATTGGTCAATGCGATCAGCTTCGGGACATCGCTAACACAGTTGCTTGTGGTGGTGGTGGCCGTCGTTGTTGTTGTTGACTTTGGTCGCCGATAGATCTGTACGTAGTCGGGCAACAGTGGGTGTGTGGCAAGTTTGGCCGCAGTCGGCGGTTGATGTGCCGATAAATTGCTGGTCATATTGTGTGCGCAACCGATAGACAACACACACAATGCACACAATAATAGTAAATACAATAAACACTACAATAGACTGTATTATACAAACACTTATGTAATACTGTATTGACATCAATATAGAGAGGGAATACATACTACTATACACTAAAATAAATGTATTATTAATACATGTATTAATAATATACTGTAGTATTCAATGTATTTTTAAGTGATGCCATAAAAGTTTATTATTATAAAACATAAATAATGTCATACAATGTTTTTATTTATTATTATTATTTTCTAAGTTTATTATATAAAATTTTATTCATCCCCTACGCTACTACCCCACCCCCGATGAACGTAATTTATGTTAGGCCATGCGAGCCAAATTCAAAATTGGCACACGGGACAACAAGTTTTTTTTAAAAATTATTATTATAACTGATGTAATACAATAAAGTACGTCAACAATTAAATATTTTAAATATAATTTTTTTAATTAACATGCTAAATTAAATAATAAATTAAAAATTAATTAGTTTTATCATGTTTTTTTTGAGTGAAAAAATTAAGTTAACGTTTTTAGTTGAAAAAAATCTAATCAATTATAGATTTTTTTGTCTCATTTTGTTAATTGATAAATAATTTACTTAATAAAAAAAATAATTTTAACAAATCTAAATGTATTATGCTACAATTAATTTTTTAACATTTTTGATAATTTTTAAATTTTTTAAAAACTTTTTTTAGCTGTTTTAGTTAGTAATTAATTTTTTCAAAGAATATTTTTTTAGTGCACAATATTAATTAATATATTAATTATTGTTTATTAATACAGATTATATAATATACCATAATTTTACAAACACTTAATTGATAATAAAACAAAACAAAACTTTAAAAAAAAAACATTTCAGTAAATTATTTTTTTACTATTTATTTATTTATTTAAAAATAGACTAGATAAATATTTGAAAAAAATTGTTTATACATGGGAAAAAATTGCATACAAATAACTTGTAATATTGTTACATACATACAAAAAAATGTCGTTTTCTAATACAATTAATTTTTTTTCAACAAAAAAATACTTTAAATAATAATTATTAAAAAATTTTTGTTTAATAATATTATTAATATACTATATAGTAGTAAACTGTACGAAATAGACTTTATATAGAAAAATATATAAATTTATATATATATTTAAAATGTTTTATAGCTTGAAATATGATATATATCTATATATATTGAATATATAAAAATTACAATAAATTTTCACTAATATTAAATTGGTTTTACACTTCTTTTTTAAATAGGGTCACAAAAATACGGTATATATATATATATAAATAAATTATTTAAAAAAATTTAAATTTTAAAAACAAAACAAAATTATTAGAAAATACTATTTACGGTAATATTATATATATATATATATTTATTTTTAATGGAAAAGTATAGACAATATATAGTGAGAGGAATGACTTTGTGTTTTGTTTGGGGGGGTTAAACGGTTTGGGGGATTAAAAAAAATTACAATACAATCAAATTTGATTCACTTATATAGTGATATCTATATATAGTGATCACCCGGAAAATAAAACTTACGATATATATAACAAATAAAAATTATAATAAATTAAATAAAATTAATTAATTTAGTTTTCAGTTAACAAGTATAGAGAGAGAGAGAGAGAGTGATTGTTGCAAACTGTTGGCTGATTTTTGTTAGCCAAACCACATAAGCGCCACATCATCATCATTATTACCACCGCTACAACTATCCCTCCCTGTGCACCAAAACAAACAATCCAAGACATCCTAGGACAGCATACTAAATAAACAAAAGTATATATATATATATATATATATAATAAGCACTGGTATGTACTGTTTGGTAGTAGTAGACATACCTTGAGTTTCGGATAATCATTCATCAGTATCGTAACGTAGCCAACGTATGGACAGTATCTATGTTTAGTAATAAAAAAAAAAGTTTCACATTTTATCTCAACAAAAAAAACTTCATTATTATTATCTTTGACTTAACTAACCCTTTGGCTCTGCCGATGATATCTTTGTGTTCGAGCCAGTGCTGACCGGGAGCGTAGAGGCCCCGGTCGTGGGCCTGATTGTTGTCGCCTTTGGTCAACACTTTGATGGATCCGTCGGCTCTATCGGGTGTTGGGTCGCGGGGATGGAGAGAGAGAGAGAGAGAGAGACGGTAAGTATAAAAAAAACATTTTTTTAAATACTGAAATCAATATACTTTTCGTGCAAATTGAGAACCCGATGAACAATAGGTATCTCCCGGTCTTTGATCTTGAATACGACAATATCGCCGACACGTATGGGATCTTCGCGATTGTTGGTCAGAAATAGTAGATCGCCACGGTAGAAGGCCGGCTCCATACTACCACTGTTTTTGTAATGGATGGATGGATGGACGGGTGTATAGATGGATGATATATATAGTATGATTGGGGGGTAGATTAGGTTAGACATTAAAACGGGTGCCATATAATGATGTACATACCTGAGCACTACAACAATGGGCGACTCGCTGCCGGTCATTACGATCAGGCCTTTCCATATCATTAGGGCAGTGGCCACTATCATACCGAAGTTGAGGGCCTGGTATAGCAACTGCAGTGTCCAGTTGGTGGGGGACGGGGGTTGGGGGTTGGTTGGATCGGTAAATAAAAGTTTTAATTATATGATAATTATTTTTTTGTTGGCCATTCATATTCATACCTGTCGTTTGTTCATTTTGGTCAGTTCGGTGATACCGAGTGTGTCCATTATCGAAACCATTGTGTGTGTGTGTCTATGTCTGACTGTCTGTATTGCAGCAAATAGTTGTTACACTAAATTACAATTAAATTAAATTTGTTTTAAAAAAAATAAATAATAAAATTTTTATTTGTAAAATCACACAATATTTTTGTTAGTGAAACACGTGTATAGTTTTTATTTTTTTATGTCTAATGTATATAAAAAACATACTGTAGTTTAAAACAAACACATAGACAGTACAGTAAATAATGTATTGAAAATGTTTGAACACCTGTTGTGTTGGCTTCAGTGTAAAGCCCAGTCAGTCAGTTAGTCAATGAATATATTGTATATATATATATATTGTATGATATATTATTATTAATAATACAGTATGTATTCAATTTATACACACATATGTTATATAATAAACTATTGGTAAATAAATAGTATTTAAATTAATAATACTATTAATAATTATAATATGATATTGTTGTTGTTATTATAATATACTGTATTAATACTGTACTGTAGTTTATATTAATACAGTGGCCATACAGTAAAGCCAACAACTAATAACTAATATATATGTTTTGTGGCCAATACTTAAACGACACGACTGTCACACTATACAGACGTGTGTGTATATGTATGTGTGTGTGTGTATGTATATGTGTGTGTGTGTATGTATGTGTGTGTGTGTGTGTGTGTGTGTGTGTATGTRTGTGTGTGTATGTATGTATGTATGTATGTGTGTGTATGTATGTGTGTGTGTGTATGTATGTGTGTGTGTGTGTATGTATGTGTGTGTATGTATGTGTGTGTGTGTATGTATGTGTGTGTGTGTGTATGTATGTGTGTGTGTATGTATGTGTGTGTATGTATGTGTGTGTGTATGTGTGTGTGTGTGTGTGTGTATGTATGTGTGTGTATGTATGTGTGTGTATGTATGTGTGTGTGTGTATGTATGTGTGTGTGTGTGTGTGTGTGTGTGTGTGTGTGTGTGTGTGTGTGTGTGTGTGTGTGTGTGTGTGTGTGTGTGTGTRTGTGTGTGTGTGTGTGTGTGTGTGTGTGTGTGTATGTGTGTGTGTGTGTGTGTATGTATGTGTGTGTATGTGTGTGTGTGTATGTATATGTGTGTATGTATGTGTGTGTGTATGTATGTGTGTATGTATGTGTGTGTGTGTGTGTGTGTGTGTGTGTGTGTGTGTGTGTGTGTGTGTGTGTATGTATGTGTGTGTGTGTCTGTGTAGGTATGTGTATGTGTGTAGGTATGTATGTCTAAGTATGTATAAGTGTATCTACCGGTAGTACAAACACATACAAACTTTGTACAAACAGTACTGTCTGTGCATAAGTGGCGTAACCCCCCAATATCTAAAAAGTATTATAAAACAATTAATTATTGCATATACAGTATATATATATATTATTATATACATAACAATTACATAATTAGTATCAAGGCTATTTGATAAAATTATTATTATTATTATACTTTATACAATGTACATTTTATTATTATTTAAAAAAATTAAATAGAAACAAAACTTACATTGATCAATTTATTTTTCTACAGTACATATTAGTGTGAGAAAAGTATCAAATAGAATGTTACACACAAATAATTTAATTATTAGTAAATGTTCCCCTTTTCCACCCATTGATATACTGTACTAAAAAAAAAAATTACAATATATTTATTTATTAAACACCCCTTTATTTTATATTACGATAATACTAAATAAACGTCACTTTGTTTATGAATGACCCATTGAATGACAATGTTTTAAATAAAATATTGTTTTATTATTTAAAAAATTATTTTTTATTTTTTAATTATTATTATTATTACTAACTGTTATGTCATTTACCGGCGGCGACAGTGTTGTTGTTGTTGTGGCCACCGATGACGCGGCGGCCACTGAGGCCGTCAATGAAAAACAATATTTTACGCGCGACCTATCACTGGACAATTGTTTGGCCGCCGCCGCCGATACCGCCACCGTTGTTGACCTGACCGTTGACCAGCGCTTTATCGGCGACGTCGGCTGTGTTGTATGGGACGCGGCACTAGTTCTGGCCAAATACTTGGACCGTCAATCCAGTCGACTTGGCCTACGTCGGCCAGCACTGGTGGTCGAATTGGGCGCCGGTACCGGATTTTGTGGCCTATGCGCTGCAGCACTCGGCGCCCGTGCCGTTATTACCGATCTGGCCGATTGTGTAGATCTAATGGTCAGAAATGTTAACAAAAATCGCCTGCTAATCGGCGATCGGGTAGCCGTTCACGAGTACGATTGGGCCCAAACCGCTGGTGGTGACCAACAACTAGCCGATGAACAGTTGTTTTTTGGTCACAATATCACCGAAATTAACTACATATTGATCTCCGATTGTCTATACTATGCACAGGTATGTCAAATAAATAACTTTAATTTTTTTTATTATTGTTGTAATACTACTAATAATAAATCACTTTTTTTAAAATTACTAACAGAGTGTTAGACAACTGTACGATACGGTCGACTGGTTGTCATCAAAGGGAGCAACTGTTTTGATGTCATACGAGGACAGGGATGACAAGCGGCCACTGGTCGACAAGTTTTTTAAAGTTTGTTTTTTTTATTTTTTGATTTGTTAGCACTAATTGTTTGTGTGTTTTGTTAATTATTTTGTTTGTTTGTTTTAATTTGTTTTTTTTTTAGTTAATTAAATCAAAATTTATTGTTAATGAGATATCCAGTGATGAATTACATGCCGACTATCGGTCACCAGATCTACATTTGTTTGAATTGAAACAAAAAATTATTGAAATTTGTTAGCAATAAAAAACAATTGTAAATATATTTTTCTGTAGATATAATTAGCATATTATACTGTATATATATAAATAAATACAGGCAATAATAAAATGTATAAATTAATTGACTTATTGTACGGGTATATATTATTTTAAGTAAATATTAATTATTATATATTATTCGAAAAAAAATAAATAAATAAAACATTTTAATTACCGGTAATAATAAGTAAATTTTCTGTTTAGTTGGAAAATGTATTTTTTTACATTAAAAATAACTCAATTATAATAAATATATCATATATATATATATATATATATATATATATATATATATATATATTTAAATACACTACACTATAAGTTATTGTTAAATTTAATACAGTATTTTATAAGTTCACCAAAAAAAACATAACCAGAGGACATATTTCGCAATTTTGAAAATTTTTTATAAATATTCAAAAAAAAGATAAATTATAGTTTAAAACATATTATTTCAAACAATATTAGTAAAAAAACAGTATTGTGTAATCAAATATCAATAAAATTGATTATTTTTCTCTATAAAACTATATAATTTGCATAATGTAAAAATATAAAGTTACATAAATTAAAAAAATAATAATTTTTACATAAATAATTTTTTATCTTATATTAATTATTTAATATTAAACAGTTTTTTAAAAAAAATTATAATAGTTATTTACCATAAAATAATTGTGCAATATAATTGTTATGGAATGTAGAAAATTAAATATAATATATTAATATATTTATTTTTTTAAAAAACATAATTTAATTAATTTACTGTAATTTAAGAATTTATGATTTATTTATATATGATTATCGGTACGTGAATTATGTTTAAAATAATTATATAATTTTTACTATAAGATATACTGTATGTAAATGTCAACTACAATAATTCATATACGAGTATATACATGTATATTATATCATAGATAACATAACGAAAAATATTAATTAATTTATATATTTAAAATTATTCAAATTTAAAAAAAATTATTAAATAATAGAGTTGTTGTTTATATATGATAATTATTATTGAGTTATCAGATTATATTATACTGTGTATATATTAATAAATTATACAATTATTTTTACTATTATTCAATATATTATATAAACTGCTTGTTAGTACAAGTATAATAATCATATATACATACACACACACACACACACACACATACATACATACACACAYACACACATACACACATACACACATACACACATACACACATACACACATACACACATACACACATACACACATACACACATACACACATACACACATACACACATACACATATACACACATACACACATACACACATACACACATACACACATACACACATACACACATACACACATACACACATACACACATACACACATACACACATACACACATACACACATACACACATACACACATACACACATACACACATACACACATACACACATACACACATACACACATACACACATACACACATACACACATACACACATACACACATACACACATACACACATACACACATACACACATACACACATACACACATACACACATACACACATACACACATACACACATACACACATACACACATACACACATACACACATACACACATACACACATACACACATACACACATACACACATACACACATACACACATACACACATACACACATACACACATACACACATACACACATACAAAAATAAAATAATTATTTATAGTACTTTTTTAGGTAATAGTAGTAATAATACTACAAAAAATATTAATTATTTATAAGATATATTGGAATTAAAGGTCAATACATTAATGCTTATAAATAAATAAATAAATAATACAATATATACAGTGTAGCTAATTTAATGTTAACATAATTAAACATACTGTATAATAAGGTATACAATGTATATGTTTAATGAGTTTTGTTTAATTAAAACTATTAACTAATTTATAATCTAATTTCCACACACACACACATCTATTTATATATTTAATTTTAGAATAATGTATATTACAGAATATATATATATATAACTACAGAATATTCTGTATACAAATGTAGTATATATTTTAATATATAGTATTTTAATAGTATATATATATATATCGGTATATATTGTTTATACATTATATACAATACAACTATAATATAGTAATAAAAATTAGCGCAGAATCGGAATTTTTGTACATAAAAGATAGAATCAAACTGTATATTACTAGAAATAAAATAATCGCATACATTGTGTTAAAAAAGATTTTTATTTTATTTTTAAATATATATATTTATATTATGTATCAGTGATTTTGTCGGTATATAACTATATAGTGATTTTTTCATAGTTTGAATAAAAATATCAATAAGTTTTTTTTAAAAAAAAGCTGAAATTTTTTGTTATTTTATTTGATTGAAAAAAAAAGTTATATACTATATTGTAAATACTAATATATAAATTTGAAATAAATATTTAAACTATGTTTATTTTCTAATAATAATAATAATAATAAAATCTAGCCTGTAATATTGTATATGCAAACAGTTATTTATTTATTTTATTGTTATAATTATAAAATTTATAAATAATGAATTATTGTGACAAAAATTTTGTCGATAAATTTTTAATCAAAATCAACAATAGTAGTGTTGTTAATGATAAAAACATTACATATCTATATCAATATCTAACTCCAATATTATTAATAGGTAATATAAATTTTTTGTTGGTTTGTTTGTTGTAATAAACTATTTATATTAAATAATTTTTTAGAATAATTTATTAATTATTAAAAAATTTTTTTTATTGTAGACACAGTAGATTTTTTTTTATAAAAAATAAAATCAAATCAAATATTAGTTTAATAATTTGCCCAGATTAGATTTTTTTTTGGTTATTATATTAACATTAGACTAACAAGTTATTAATAATAGCTAAATACAATATTTACATTAAAAAATATTATGCTATATTATACTATGTATATACAGTAAATACTATTTACAGTATATAATAAATGCTATCTATTTAAATAAAAAAAAAATAATTATATCCAGGTTGTTTTATTGGACTCATATTGAACACACTGTTGCTAATTGTTGCAAACATGCGGTGTCGCAATCAGTCGCCAATTTTCCGATTGTCGTTAAACTTGGCGGCTACCGATGCCGTCAATAGCTTGATAGTGGGAACCGGCCTATTTGTCAACTCCTATTTGCCCCGTGTGTTCAACGTGTCCATCAGCAACAACTGTACAATACTGGTGTTGGAAATATTTCGGTTGTCATCGTTGGTCGCATCGGCACTGCATCTGTTAGCTATGGCTTTCATCTACTACAGAGGTGTTACCAAACCATTGCATTACAGGTATAGTTAATTAAAATAAAAAAAATTTGAAAGTAAAACATGTTATTTAAATTTGAATTATTTAATTGAAATTTTTTTTAAAATTATTTTTTTTTAAAAGGTTTACTATATTTTGTTCAACACATCTCAAGCGTAGTCTATATTTGGTATCATTAATGTGTTGGACAATACCTGTCCTAATATTTAGTCTATATTTTTTCAGTATCCCGTGTCAAGGTATGTGTATTTTAATAAAATTATATATATATATATAGATATCAATAGTATATATTATGTAATATATATTTTAAAAATTTTAAATGAAATTAAATTTTGACTATAATAATAATAATAATAATAATCAATTATTATTATTATTATGAAACAGTAACTATATCAGAAACATAAATATTTTTAGAAAATTTCTATAAAATTTTATGATAAAAATTAATAATTAATTTTTATTATTATAATAATAAAAATTTTGTATGAAAATATTTAAATCTAAACAAAATTTGTCAATTAATTTGATATTAAAATGTCATGTTAGATATATATATATATTAAAAATTAGTTTTAATGTTACAATCATCAACTGATAGACATAATTATACTGTATATAAAAATTTTATTATTTTAGGTGTTGTATAGTATGTATGTATGTATGTGTATGTGTGTGTGTGTGTGTGTGTTTGCGAGTGTGTGTATGTGTATGTGTGTCAGAATATTTTTGTTAAAAAATATATAACACATTTTTATAGGACTATATTTAATGATCAGAAAATAAATCAATATAAAAAATAGATACTTAACAAATAGTGAACAATTTGTTAGCCGTAATAAAAACTATTTTTTATATAATATAGATAAAGAATTTAGTGTCAAATATTAAACTTTCTTTTTTTCCACAATACTCTATATATATATATATATAGTTATTATAAGTATTATAAGTTATATATAATACATAAATATATAGGATTTTGTGTGTACTATAATTTTTTTAGCATAAAAAATAATAATAATAAAAAAAACACTATACAATAGTAAATGCTTTATACAATAGATTGTCAATAAATAAATAAATAAATAAATTGAGAGAGAGAAAGAAAGAGAGAGAGAGAGAGAGAGAAAACGTGACATAATCTGATTACTAGAAAAAAATAAAATAAAATAATTTTAGATTTTAACAAGGTGATAAGTAAATAAAATGCATTTATATAGAAAAATAATTTACTAAACTGAGAAAATAAAAAAAAAATCAATAGATAATTTATGTTAATTTACTTATTTTTTATGTACATTGCAAATTGTTTCAATAGTTATTTTACAATAGAATTGTACAAATATTTTTTATTTAAAAAAATAAATAAAATATTTTTCTCTATTCAACATATTATAATAATGATTAGTTAATAGTATTATTTATAGTAGTATAATAGAAATAGTAGTGGTATTTAATATATTTGATTTAAATTATTTAGATATTTAAAAAACCAAATAATTTAAATAATGATTGTACTAATACATCAAGCAATATGATTTACAATTAAATTATTAATTAGTATAAATTATATACATATATAATCATTATGAATAATATTATTAAAATAAAAAATTGTTGTTATTTATGACAATTTATATATTATGTTAATAGTCTCTTCATTAAATAATTGATAAAAAAATTAAATTAATTTTTTACTTTTTACATTTTAAAACTAATCTAACAATTAAATAGTATTATATTAATAATTACTTTTAAACAAGTGGATTTTTACATATAAGAGGCTTATAATTTTTAAAATTTATATATATATATATATATATAAATGTATATATATATATAAATGTATATATATTTATAAAAATCTATTTAATAACTTAAAATTAAATAATATAAAAACCTAATTAATTATGAAACATAAACTTTACTACTACTTATGATTAAAAATAGCAAATATCATATTCACGGATCTATTATTATTATTATTATTATTTATTATTTTTATTTATATTTTAATCATCATTTTGAATCATCAAATGAAGTTCAGTTTATAATTTATCATTTTATTGTACAGTAGAGTACAGTATATAAAATATAAACTAATACGTACTGTATTATGATATTGTATAATATTAAATTCAAAAATTTGTTCAAATATATAACTTTATTATTATTATTATTTTCCAAAAAATGCATAGTAACCAAATATTACAACATTTGTGTTTTACATTTTTAAAAAACAACATATTGTACGGAAAATATATAATATATTTAAATATTGATTTGTTTTATACTCTGGGGTTATCTTTTTTTTTTTTTTAAATAGACAAACTTTAAAAATATATTATTTTCAAACATTTTTGATTTTTTTTGTAAAAGAATATCAAATAATATTTTTAATTTAGTTAAAATTTTTTTTAAAAAACATCACAATATACTGTATTTAAATACTGTATATACAGTTTATATATATATATATATTGTTTCAATAGTTATGTCATAATAAGATTAATAAGATTACATTTATTTAATAATATTCAAAAATTAAATTCAAAATTGAATTTTGTTTTAAACCTATATTACAGATACTGATATATCTTTTATCTTTTTAGATTATTTATTGAAGCATTTATTAAATAAATGCTATTTAATTATTTATTTTTAAAAAATAATAATATTTTTGTATGTAATTTTGCCTAAAAATATAAAAATTATGTATATGTATTATATTTATATTTTAATATTTCATTAATTTGTCATATATAGAGGATTTAAAATATTTATCTAATAGACTATATTTAAAGTATATTTTTTGAAAAAATTTATATTATTATTATTATATAATTTATATCACACTTAAAATCTATTGTGAATACTCTGCATAATATTTATTTCAATACTCTTATAATTACTTATATTATTAAAATATTAACAAAATGTAATTTTATTTTTATTTTTATTTTATATTGTTTTCATACAATTTTTCATACAGTATATTTATAGTCTTAAAAATCACGAAATATTTTATATAATAAAGATATTTTATATTTTTAAATATATATTATATATATATATTGTATATAAAATTACAAGAAAAATAAAAATAATTTTTATTTTTCATTTATTTGACGCAAATCACTGATTCATAATACGGTATTGTAGTACACAAATATGTTGTATAATATAATACTGATATTATTTAAGTAAATGATATATATATATATAAACCTTAATTTTTTCCACAAAATTCAATATAATAATATGATATAATACTAATATAATAGTATTATTTTATTTTATTTTTTTAAATCTCTAAAAATAGATATAATTTAGGTGTTAACATAAATACTATTATATAGAGACTAATATTAATATATTTTTTATTCTAGATAAATAAATAAATTTTTTATTATTATTTTATTTTATCATAATAATTTCATCTTATTTAACGATAATAATAATAAATTGCAAAAAAATAAACTATAAATTATATAAGTCTATATAAGCTTGTCTTATGTTTTATGAAAATATTTTTTTATTAATAAAGATACTACTAATAATATTGAAATGAAAAATACATTAAATCTAAAATAAAATTTAAGATTATTATTATTACTATTAATATGATATAAATATAGTATAATATAACAAAAATAGCTGTAGTTATTAAATTCATTCAATTTCATCCCACATATGATAAAAATTGTGTGTTTTTTTGTTTGTTTGCAATTTAATTAGCTTTTCAATCGGCAAACTGTGACTACATTTTTATGCTATCGTTTCGCTTGAGGACAACAGTGACCGTAATTTTTTTGGCACCACTGCTGGTAATGTCTGTCCTGTATTGGCGTATATTTTCAATCATACATTGCCGCCGCCGTCGGGCCGCCGGTTCAACTACTACTACTACTACGACCTCAGTGACGACCAACAGTATCGGTGCAGTCATTAATCGTAACGTTTTGCTAGATATCGGCTGCAGTGCTGATGTCGACGACCAGATTGTTAGCCGAAAATCCCTACATATAGTCAAAAGCCGACAAACACTAGCCATTAGGCGATCGCCAAATCGGTCGCTAAGTGGTCATCGGCGCCGATATTCAAGCAAAACAGTAGTCACAACACTGTCTATATTAGGTATGAATAAGTTAAACCAAAAAAAAAATTTTTTTTTATTAATTTTAGTTTTTATTGTTATTATTGCATTTTTAATACTGTATTAAAAAACAGGTACTTATGTTATATGTTGGATGCCGGGAGTTGCCTATCTGGCCCTGACCTGTCTGGACGGTTGTCCATTTCCGCTACTATCGCTGGCCGACGACACCCGTATACTAATTGGCTTTACTGTCAATGCATTGATTATATTTAAGGCAATTATCGACCCATTTATCTATTCATTTCGTATGAACGAAATTACTGCACTATATCGCAGAAATCGCTATAATATAAATAATAATAATAATAATAATAATAATAATAATAATAATTTAAGTAATACTTTAAGTATAAATAATAATAATAATAATTAAATGTCATCATGATTTTACAAAAAAAAATTATACTGTATATATATATATAAAAAAATAAAATTAAAAAAATAAAAGTTTCTTATCTTAACATTTTATCAACAAAAAAATAAAATAAAATGTATAAAAAATAATAATAATAATAATAGTTTATTTATTTTTGTCTATTTTCAAAAGTGTCAATGTACTCTATTTGTTGCTCAATTATATTGTATAGATATATATATATATAATTTATATATGTGTTAATTATTAAAATATTTTAATAAAATAAAATAAAATAAAATTTATTTATTTTTATGATAGAAATTGTGACATATTATTATTTTCTAACAATATTTTTTGTTGTTAAATAAAAAAATACTATTATTTAATAATATTAATATATTATTAATATAATTTTGTTATATTGTATAAATAATATATTGTTTATTATAAATTTTGTTATTATTGATTATTATTGATTATAATAAATATTTTATTATTATCTTATTTTAATAATAAAACTATAAAAAAAAATTTTGGTAAGTACTATACATTGACATTTAAACTAATTTATTAATGCAAATAATTATGAGTTAAACAAAAAGTTAGCAATTATTTTTTGTTTTATTTATTTAAACAATAATTTATATTTAATATTATAATTTAATACAAATCTAAAGTTAATAAATCTAAATGTTATCTATATTTTTAAAGATTTTTTGTACAGTATGTATGTATGATTATGATACTCATAGATAATGTCAAAATTTATTTTTATTTTAAAAATTATTATTAATTATATAAATATGTATAAATTAATGCTCTATTACTTTTTGCTAACTATAGTATTACAGTTTTTTTTAAATAATAAATTTATTGAATATAAAATATTAAACAAATTACATTGTGTATATCATTATATATGATTAATTTATATTTATTAAAATACTAATAAATAATAATAATACTATTGTAATACCAGTAAAAATTGTTTATCTATATGACTATCTCCTCTATTTTATTATTATTAATATTTTTTAAAACAAACAAAAAGCTGTTTAAAAAACCTATTTTTTAAATATAGAAAAAACAGTATATTTTAACAACAATTTAAAAAAAAACTAAAAAAAATGTATTTTGTACATTATACATTTTATTAATATATAAAGTTTACGTACTTTATGTAAAAATAATTTTTTTTTTCTCACATTACATATACTTTATTTTATTATTATTATTATATTTATTTGCATTCAAAATACAAACAAACAAACAAACAGTTTATTAATTTATATATTATATGTGTTTTATTACAGTTTAACAGTTTATTTGATGCAATCAATAGTGTATTATATTTTGTAATACCAGTTAAAGACAAACACTTTTTTTAGATAACATGTTGTCTGTAATAGCCGTCGACTGTAATCAGCTGATGATCGGCCAATACGATTGTAAGCCGCCGGTGATTGATGTGGACACTCAACAGCCAGTATCGTGCAATCGATCCGATCGGGCATACGTTAATTGTACGCTAGTTGATGGACTGGTATGCCGGGCAACTGGTCGGCCAGAGTTTGAACAGCCAATCGACTGCCGACATACTAACGGCTATTCGCACGAAACGGCACTATTGTTGTCCATTTTTTTGGGTATGTTCGGTGCCGATCGGTTTTATTTAGGCTATCCCGGACTCGGACTACTCAAGTTTTGTACCCTCGGGTTCCTGTTTTTGGGCCAATTGGTCGATATTATATTGATTGCACTGCAAATTGTCGGCCCGGCCGACGGTTCCCACTATGTTATCAAATATTTTGGTCCGAAATTGGATATAATGGCCTACAATACGGCCACCGATATTATCTACGAAGATAACTGGCCTCAACTGATGAACACCTGATGAAGATCCTGATGCCGGGTGCGGGGAGGGGTGGTTTTGGTGGGGGCGGTGGCGGGGGTTTAATGTATAGGATATATAATATATACGGTATATAAACTTGTATTTGTAATTGTGTTACAGTTATTGTAATCACTGTTTAATACTTAGCCGTTATTAATACTTGTATAGTATATATATATATATATATATAATTAACAAATTATATTTGATATCATATTTATATACTGTTTTTAAAAAAATAATTTTTTTCGTGTAAATAGTTATTTTATTTTAGTTAATTAATTAATATTGTCTTAATTCAATGTATTTAATTTGATATAATGTGTAAATAATAATTGATTTATCGCTCTCTCTCTCTCTCTCTCTCTATCTATCTATCTATCTATGTCTCAGTTTTTCATTAGTCATGTAAAGCCATAATTTTTGTTTTGTATTATTATTATTAATCAGTAATTTTGTAATAAACTTTATAATAATAATAATAATAATAAATATTGTTATATTTGATATATGAAAAATTGGTTATTATTAAATTTATTATAAATTGGTTATATTATGATAATTATTAATTTATTAATATATACAGTATACTACAACATTAAATATAATTTAAATATAATTTTGGTTATTATTTGCAGAAACTAGAAATATATAAAAAAAAAAATTGTTATTAATAATTATTTTTCTTTGTAAATATTTTAATATAATTTAATTACCAATTGATAAGTGAATTGATTTATTATAAATAATTTCCAACAATAGAAACCAATTCGGGGTTTTGCAGTCAATTCAATCAATGTATTAAACTTTAAATATTTTAAATATATATATATATTGAATAATATAATAATTTTTAAATATTATAAATATTAAATATAATTATTACCTTTAATTTTTTAACTATGGAAAATTGTTGACAATTATGTTTTAATAATTTTGTATTTAAATTATACATTAATTTATATGTTTGTTTAGCACTGGTTTGGACAGTACTGGCAAACTGTACCAATGCGGTCAATATTAGGACATAAACTATAAAAATACCGATCAATACAATTGATAAATATTGATAATCATCCATAGATTTTATGAATGTTATGAAAACACATGAAATAACTATTAGACAATAAACGCAATTAAATAGCAATGTTGTCGACCATAACTGGTTTAATGTAAAATTTTTCATAAATATTAAACTATAAAATTGATGAAAATATAGCAATTTTCTGGTTATAGCTAATCTTGAAAACTTTTTATTATTATTGTCTAATAATAATAATAATAATTGTTTGATTTTTCTATTAAGTATTAGTATATCATAGTTTTGATACAAACAAATAATAGTAAAATATAACATATAATATATTTGAGCTATCGATGAGATACCATATAGTTTGACATATAGTAGACACCAAATTATGCCAATTGTTATCAATTGAATCCATGATGAATAATATAATAACATACCAGTGAATGGTAATAAACCACATAATGTATAGATAAATATTATTATTAGTCTAGAAATTATCATATAGTATCTAGTACAATTATAATCATATAGATTAGGTATACAAATATCAGTATTATATAATAGTTTTTTAAAATTATTTGTAAATCTATTGAACTTATAATTGCTATCATATTTTATAATTAAGACAAATATCAATGTAAATAGTAGACACAATTTAATTAACTTGAATTGTATTGTATTACTCCAATCACCAAGGTAAATATGATATTTATGATTATCGATAAAATAAAATGATAAAATTTTCATAAATTCCAAACATATCGATAAATTGTAGATAATATTTGAACTACTATTTGATATATGTTTATAGTATGGATTATATTTAGGATATCCTAATCGATAACAATTTTCGCCCAATAAATACAATAGGATATCATATGTTTTTATTTTCATTGTTTTAAAATTTTTTTTACTAAAATAAAATATTTTAGTTTCTAAAATTTATGAATAAATTTTCAAATTCAAATAACATCATATGTATTATAATAAAATTACAATATACTCGGTATATTTATAACTAATAATTAATAAACTATTTTTTGAATACTTTACAATTATTAATTAAACTAATTAGTTTCTATATTAGTATAATTATTGAAAAACAATTAATACTTATACTTTAAAAAAATAATAAGCATAATACTTTTTAATTATTATTATTTCTAATTATTAAATATAATATATTATCAATATTTTATATTGAAAAATAGACGAAAATAGTTATAATAATTATTTTGTCGATATTATAACTATTATTGAAAGCATTTATTATTATAATTATTATTTTGTTTTTACTTATAATACAGTAAATATTTTTTCCATTAATAATAATTATGAATTATTATCAATAATAATAATAATTTCATTTTAATAATAAAAACTTATAAAATTGATAGCAGTTTTTTAAATAGCATGTAAAGTTATAATTAATTATGTTAATGTTTATTGTTTAGTATTATAATTGTAAATTTTTCAAAAAATATTTTCAAAAATTTTAATGTATAGATTAGACTCTAAATACAATTGTTGATATTTATTGAAATAATATTTAAAACTTATTTATTTGAATTAAAAAAACATTTTATTTTTATGAAAACTATTTTTTTTCTGAAAAAAAATTAAATAACAGTAAATCTTATACTAGAGTTAAAACAAGTAGAAGTTAGCATAGCATAGATTAAATTAATTGGTGCCTAAAATATTAGATTATAAAATATAAAATTATAATTAAATAATATAAACGTAAAAAACAAATTGACACAACAAATTATTTATTAATTAAAGAATATATTATATATTAAATATAATTTAATTATAAAAACTAAAAATAATAGGATTTTTATTGTTGGAAATTATTTATAACAAATCAATTGGTAAATAAATTATATAACATTAATAAAATTCATTTTTTATAAAATTTATTTAGTTTTTGCATATAATTACTATAAAAAAATAATAATAAACAAATTATATATTTTTCTATAATATGAATCAATAATAAAAATGTATATATTATTTAAAAATCATTTTTAAAATTAATAGTATTTAAGAAAATATTAATTATAAACTTAATGAATAAGAAAATCAAATACAAAATTAGATTTGACTATTAGTAGAAGTTAAGTGTAATACTATTCAATTGTATATATTAATAATAATAATAATAATAATAATAATAAATTATTAAATTTTTCGATCAACTAAAACACTAGATTGTATTTTGTTTTATTTTTTTAAAATATCGTACATTTTATTTTTTGTAAAATAAACTACTTACATGAATATTTTAAATTTAATAAAATTTAAAATAAAAACTAATTTAAATAATAATAACACGATTTTTATAATTAATATAATTTTTATAGAAATAATTAAATAAATAAATTGTATAATAAATTAGTTGACTACTAGTGACAACAGATATGCCGATCCACATACCAATAGTACCACCGATTTCATAGATAAGTGAATAGATATCCATTGATAACTGTTCAGTGATTTGCGGCTCTAATGTATGTTTCGGTATTATATTGATTGTCGTATAGTTCGTGATTCCCGTCGACGACGACCCGACACTACTAGACGTTGAACTCATATCCGGGAGTATTCGGAAACACCGATACATTGATTGTTTCAAACATTTTGAATGAAAACTTTTAAATAACAAATCAATTGGTTTGTCATCCGATTGACAATTAGTTATTATATCAGTATTTTTGGATAAATCTATTTCTTGATATATAAATGGATAACAACTATTGGTTTTTAAATATTCATTTTCGATACAATTATTCAGATTTTTTTGTTTTTTATTTTCATAAAATATCTGATCAAATGGATTGTCGATTAAATCTAAACACTGTTCACTGTTTGTTGTTGTTATCGGCAATAGTTTGACGGCTTTAGTTGTATATATAATATTTATATTACTATTTAATTTGATTTCAAATACATTAAGAGATCCCCAATCATCAAATTCAGTGCCTAATAAAATTAGTTGTCTTTTATATAAACTATTATAATTTATAATTATTTTTTCTAGTTTAAATTTTCTAATATTATTAATTAATTTATCATCTATTAAATTAAAAAACAAATTATAATCTATAATAAAATACATTGAAAATTTTGTGGACAATTTAAAATGATTTTTAATTTTTATAATAATCCGATTTTCAGGACAATCCATATGTAAACCATTAGTAAACCAAAACTGACAGTCAATTAAATTATAAAACTGTTGTCTTAATTGTCTTTTATTAGTTGAGTTGAAAATTCCCGCATAAATATTAATATGTTTGTAAATATCTTCACTATCTTTATTGATATCATTGCTAAATAAATCTAAAATTATTGGATCGAAAGGCATAATAATAATACTAATCTCTGGTATTCTAATATTATATTCAAATTTTATTTGTGTTATTATTTGATATGTTTTATAAATAGAAATTATTGCCGACAAATGCCAACACATTACCAGAAAACATATAATAAATATAAAATAATTAATCCATTGTTTAATATATTTAAAATATTTGACATAAATATTAAACTTGATTTTTGTTGATTTACTGAGTGTTAATAATTTTTTTAATGAAAACATGTTTATTAGTGATATTATAAATGAATAACAACTGTATCCCCAAAACATACTCATAAGTCCTCCCAATTCACACCAATAAGCTATGGACGACATCGACGGTGAGTATATTACAGTTAGTTTTAAATGTCGTTTAATATTAATATTAAAAATTTTCTTATCGTTAAAATCTCTATTTGTTTTAAGTGGACTGGATGCAATATCATATATATAGTAATTACAATCGGGTTTGCATTTTGTATATAATTCAGAAATTTTGTAATCAACATAACATTTATTGATAATATTAGTATTATTACTAACTTTATTATAATGTCTATTAACTGATAAAATTGATGTTTTATTTTCAATCTGATATTGAATCCAATAGTAATTATAATTACATTTTCTATACTCTCTATCAGTCATTATATTTAACATGCATTCAGTTCGGGATTTTGGTTGTAATAGTCGTCTATTAGCTGATTGATTGTCGACATCAATGCTGTTATCATAGTATTGGCAATCAGTCTGATAGGGAAACGGTAGATATT